CACTCACCAGATATTTATAAGCATTGATAAGATTCCCTCCCACCAGTCTTCTCCAGGCTGAACAGTCCAGTTCTCTCAGCCTTTCCTCATATGGGAAGTGCTCCAGACCCCTAATCATTTCTGTAGCCCTCCACTGGACTCTCCCTAGAAGTTCCCTGTCTGTTCCGTAGTTCTCCAGCTCCTCCTTCTTGGCCTTTTTTTGAAGACTGGAGTATTGTTGGCTTTCCTCCAGTCCTCAGGCCTCTCTCCCATTCTCCATGGCCTTTCAAAGATGATAGAGGCCATCACAATAATTTCTGCCAGCTCCCTCAGCATTCATGAGCGCACCCCAACAGTGTACATAGATTTGTGTACAGAATTCACCTAGATTGTTTCTGACCAGATCTTCTTCAACCACAGGGAAGTCTTCCTTTTTTTCCAGACTATCTCTTACCTCCAGAGTCTGAGATTCCCGAGGGATGGAAAGACTGAAGCAAAGAAGGCATTCAGTAATTTCACCTTCTCAGCACCCTCCATTACTAAGGCATTCACCTCATTCAGCTGCAGATCCACATTTCCCCTAACCTTCCTTCACTACCTACACGTTTAAAAAAGCCCTCTCTTGTTCTTGGCTTCTCTGCCCAGATTAAGTTCCAAGAGGGCCTTGGCCTTCACTGCATCCCTGCATGCCCTGACAATGTTCCTACATTCCTCCCAATTGGCCAGACCCCTTTTCCACCTTCCACAGACTTTCTTTATGTTTTTCTATGAGCTCCGTGCTCATGCATGTGCGTCTCCTACCACCTTTGACTGATTTCTTACTCTTAGGGATGTGCCAATCTTGAGCTTGGGGAAGCGGTGCTTGAACGTCAGTGAACTCTCTAAGGCCCCCTTACCTTCTAGTGTTCTAATCCATGGAATACCTCCAAGAAGGTCACTGAAGAAGTCAAAATGGGCTTTCCTGAAGTCCAAGATTACAGTCCATCTTATTATCTTTTTTTCCATGTTCCTGAACTCCACTATCTGATGGTCACTGCATCCAAGGCTGCCCCCAGCCTTCACATCCCCAACTGGTCCTTCCTTGTTTGTAAGGACAAGGTCCAGCAACACGCCTCTCCTCATTGGCTCCTCCACCACCTGCATCAGAATGTTATCTTCCATGCACTGCAGGAACATCCTGGGCTATGTGCACCTGGCAGTGTCACTGCTCCAGTAAATATTAGCATGGTTGAAGTCCCCCATGAGAACCAGTGCCTCTGATTGTGAAGCAACTTTCAGCTGTCTGTGGAAGGCCTTGTCAGCTTCCTCCTCCTGATCAGGTGGCCTATAGTAAACATCCACATTGGTGTCACTAATATTAGCCTGCCACTTAATTCTCATCCATACGCTCTCTCATCATTCATCCTTAAGACAGAGATCAATACATTCTAGTTGTTCTCTCACATACAGAGCAACTCCACTGGCTTGACTTTGCTAAAAAGTACATAGCCATTCACAACAGCATTCCAGTCACGCAAGCTTCCCCACCACATCTCTGTGACTGCAATGAAATCATGGCTTTCCTACTGCACGCTGATCTTTAATTCTTCCTGCTACTCCCTATGCTGTGTGCATTGGTCTACAGGCACTTCAGAGAAGAAAAGAGCAGAGGATGCAGGTTCCCCTAAAAGGATGCAAGAGGATCCCCCATTGCTATGCACACTCTTGAGGTGGCTGGCCTTCAGGCTCATGTCACAGGAGGCAGGTAAGGAACATTTGTCACTGTTCACATTGGCATGGCTTATTCCCTAGTCAGTCATAATGGCATGAGTATTGCCATTTTGGATCCCACCCCTTAAGTTCTTCAGTTTGAAGCCTGCCTCGCTAGGTTGGCCAGCCTGTTACCAAAGACAGCCCTGCCTCTTCTAGACAGGTGGACCCCACCCCTTACTGAAAGGTTATGATCTCCACAGAAAAGAGTCCTGTAAGTCCAATAAGTCCTATTGTCATTACAATGAAAACCCTTACACCAGCACCAGCCACATAACCAGAAATGTATTTCCTATTTCTGGCTTCCCTCTTTCCTCCAATTGGCAGAATTGAAGAGAAAATAACCTGGACACCGGTGTTCTTCACTTGCACTCCCAAGGCTTTATAGTCTTATTTGGTTCTGCCCATGTTCCACTTTCCATCCCACATGAAAGAGCAATTGGGAATAGCAGTCTGTGCTCTTGAGAAAACGCTGTACCCTCTGGGCAGTGTTCTGAATCTCAGCTCCTACAAGGCAGCAGACCTCTCAAGACTCACTGTCAGACCAGCAGATGGGAGCTTCATTGCCTTTTAACAGGGAGCCACCCACTACCTGCATATTTAGGTATATCCCATACACTGGGCAAATGTTGTATATCATTTATGTATACGAACTTCTGAAATGATGGTAAGGAATTAAAACGCTATCATCTGACTAATGCCAAGTATTTTGCAAACATGAGAAGCAAGAAATCTTTTTGGTCTCCCAAGACTCCTTTGCGATGTCCTACATATAAAATTTCTTAACTCCAAATTCAAAGTCAAGCTTCGCACAGGGGAAATTGTGATTTTCCTCGAAGGCTCAAAGGAAAATTCAGGATTATATGAAATACATGAGGTTAGTTATTAGTAATGTTGTTCTTCAAAGGACTGCAGAAACTGAGAAGACTGATGTCATGGGAAAGCCAAGTAATTGGTGAAAATGTTTTTTTAGAAGGTTAACCTTTTCTATTACTACTTTTGAAGCACTGTAAGAAGAGACTTCGTAAGATTTCCTTCCTGGTTGCTTTGTGCCTGGAATACAATTCTTTGGGCTTGATGCTTTCAGTTAGCCTGTTTTCCTGAGAGTTTTTCAGCCCCATTTTACACATTTATCTAAAGTGGGTGCCCACAGCAGCACAAAAGCAAGATCTGTCCTCTCCACTGAGCACACACTGCCTACTGCAGACCCACCAAGAGCCTTCCACTTTATGCTTACCTATGTGGGGAAGTTTGCTAGTTTGCTTTCTTAGTGGCCAGGGTTGCAAATGTACATAGAATCACTTAGGCTAGAAAAGATCTTCAAGATCAATGATTAAGAGCAATGATTAACCTGATCTACCGAGTCACTTCACTAAACAAAGTCCCTTAGAGTCAATGTGCACACATCTCACAGGTACCTCTGGGGATGGGAATTCCATCATCTTCCTGGGTTTCCATTTCCAATGCTAGACAACCCTTTGTGTGAAGGAATTCTTCATATTGCCCAATCTAAATCTCCTCCAGCACAACTTGAGGCTGTTTCTTTGAGTTCTATCACTTGCAACCCATGGGGAAAAAAAAAAAAAAAAAAAAAAATCCAACATGGGTTCATGTCACCCAAGAAAAGAAACCAACGTCCAGCCTGGTGTATGGTTGGTCTTGTTCATTCCAGCAGAGCACTATTTACTCAAGCTACTGCTATGAAGATGCATTAAACAAGAAGCACATGGCTATTATGCTGTTCAGCCACATGTTGGCATCACCACTGTCCTCCACCCGTTTGCCCTCTAGCAATGACTGCAGGCCATTATGCGAGATACACACTGAGGAAGGGATACAGAGGAAGAGCTGAGGACATCTTGCCCAAATTCAGAATGGCCATTTCTACCTCCTGTGGCAGATGTCAACAGAGCTAAAAGGAAGGCGAAAGCATCCTGCTTCCCTGAGATCTGTGGCATATGTCCCTGCACACAGGCAGCCAACACTTGGTCCTTTTCCTGTTCTAGCTTCTAATAAGAATTGACAGGCTTGTGCTTCTATTAGGGTGGCTTGCACCAGGAATAGAGAACGTATAAACAGTGACTCACTCCAAACGAAACATGCACAATCCTTTTATTTCCCCTTAATATAAGAAGTCTTCGCTGCTTCCAGTCATTAATTTCTTATTCTATAATTCCACAATGTGGTCCCATTTAAACACTACTCGAGGCTTTTCACTAGTCACAGATGTCAAAATGATTACCTACCAGATAAGTTAGCTGCATTTCGCATCTCTGCACAGATACTTTCAAAATTGCTATCACTTAATACCAGAAATGCTAAGGACATTCTTTCGAGGACAAAAGTTTACTTGACAAGTTATCCAGTAGTTATTACATCTCAAGTGTATATCTTGCCTTAATCCAACAGAACTTTCAGCTTCCCTTTGGAGGCATAACAGCTGAATTGATCTTTCATACAGGGGGACAAATTTAATTTTCCGGCTCTGATTTGGAAAAGAATGCCTATTCAAGACAGCACTTTAGCCTTCCTGAAGTCAGTGAGACCCAAACACGTGTTTACAATTAACCATGTGCTTAAGTGGTGGTCTGAACTGAGTGAATAAATATTTAGTCAGTAGGTCTGCTTGCATAAGAAAGAATTACCAGTCTGACAGAATTACAGAATTTGGCTATAAGAGGCTGGAGGATTAGTAACAAATGTGTCATTCCTATAAGTAATTCACTTAAACTACAGCCACAGCAGAGCTGTTTAGAGTATGCACACAGATTAATTTGAAGGACAGACTTAGAACATAATTATCAACGAAGAACTGTAAATTTGTAATAATATATCAGAATCATCAAGTGACTTTCAAACAAGATCTATAGAACCAAATATCCTGCTCAAATTTAATGAATTCCAGCCTGTTTCAGAGCTAGGTTGTGATTTCACTTGGAAAACTGAATAAGTAGCAGTGCAGGCCAAAGTAATTGTGGCTCAAAAAAAAAAAAAAAAAAGAAATGAAGCTGAAGAGCATATGTAAGACCCTCCAAACCCTGCCAAAATTATTTTTGTGGTAGCAGTTTATGAGAAAGATATGAGAAGCCATCAACAGAGCTTAAGGGTTTTATGTTCCCAACTCCCATTGACTGATAAGGGTCCTGGAGACTGTCAAACATTTCTCTAGGTGCTCTTAAGATCACTTAATGGTGAGGATAAATCCCTGTATTGTCCATGTTTGAAGAAATACATTATAATTTGCAGGTAAGTTTATAGTGTACATTGCTTACCTTCCTTCCAGGCAAGATTACAGGCACGTGTCCATCTGGTACATCTACCTCCAACAAGGGAGGCTGCTCACTCCTATGTTGCAGAGAAGAGCAGGAAAGAGAATCAGTTCCACATGTCACTCCATCGCTGCAAGACCAATGAGAATTTCAACAATTAAAGAGGAGGACTGAAAGACCTTTACAAATGAATAAATATATTTGCTCTCATACTGCACCTCTAACGTATTACAGTTACAACTGGCTGTGGAAGTGACCCTCCAAACTGAACTGGTGCCACTTCCTCAGTTTCAAAACCAAAATCCCCCAACAAGAATTTGATGAGCATATAGGTGACTGCAGCCTGCTGAACCAAGCAGGGCTTCAGCAACTCCAGCCCACCAGTCCCCAGGACAGCTGTGTACCAGGGCCTTGGAGCAGCAGTGGAAGCCACCCCCTCCAGACATCTCCTCACGCTGAGAATAGCAGAAGCAGCAGGCTGAGCATCTCTCCTAGCTCTCATTTCAGAATAGGTAACACTGCTGTCCTTATGCTCAGAGCCAGGTAACAGCTCAGCTCCAGGGGCTGTGACAGCTCTGTGAGTTACTAATTAATTCACCATAGTTGCTCTGCCCTCTCTACAGTAACTAAATCTAGTAGACATGAGGGTTGTCAGGCTAAGGAGAGCAGGGCTCTGAGGTATGAGGACGGATACACCATTTCCTCAAATTTTCCTCCACTGAGCTCAATGTACAAATCTCCAGGGATTCAACATGTTGGGGGAAGGGGGGGGAATAAAGGAGCTCTTTGGGATGCATACCAAGTGCTTATGCACATAAGGCAGAGCACGTACATAAGCACATGTGGCATTACTACTGTTGGAGTGATTTACGTGCACCAGAGCCCTGGCAGACTCTTGCTGTGCTTGAACACATCCATGCATCTCTGGCTGCCAGGGATACACCAGCTCCAGCATGGAGCCTCTCCTCTAACCCAAGTAAGCATCCCTGAGACGCAGGCTCTTTGCCTGGAACCCCATTCACAGAAGCAGGGCTCCCAGGCCAAGCACCAGCCCTCTAGTTGCTATAAACAGAAATTTCCCCATAATTTAAACATTCTACACATAGACTTGCAGAAACACAGGAAAACTGATGCAGGTAAATGCTTCTAATTTCCAGCAGATCAAGGAAAATACCTGTCTAAACAGCAACAACAACAACAGAAAAAACCCACAAAGACCTAATACCATTCCTTCAATGCTCTGTCACATTGCTGAAGACAATAGCAGTATTCTAGTGTTTGAGAACTTATTTCCACCAGACTGGTTTGATTCACCTCTGAATCAGAGTGGTTTGGGTTAGAAGGGACCTCACAGACCATCTAGTTCCCACACTCAACCATGGGAAGGGACACCTCACACCCAGCACCCCATCTAACCTGGCCTTGAACACCTCTAGAAATCATCCACAGATTATCTGGGCAGCCTGTTCTAGTAGTGCCTCAGTCCCTTTTCAGTCAAGAATTTCATCCTAATATCTAAACTAAACCTACCTTCTTCTAGTTTTGTATGATCAATGAATGTTAACATGTTATAATTACAAAATAAACAAGAGAGTTTAGCAAAGCAGATAATGATAAAAAAAAGAGAATAGATAGAAGGCTTACCCCTATCCTGGGCTCACCTACAAAACTCCAGCAGAGCAGATCTCCAGCAGAGACCCTTCCCCACTGGCAGCCAGCTCTTAAATAGGTCTAGGAGAGGTGTAGCCAGGCTCCCCCCCTTCCGGCACACAGCTGAATTCCCTTCACCTGTGCTCCTGTGGCTGACTCAGTGCTCGCCTCAGGTGGTCAATCAGAGGTTCAGGCTGTGACTCAGCAGTTCCCATACAAGTTTAAGCCATTACTCCTTGACCTATCACTCAATTACCTGTGCAAGCCACTTCCCAGTTTTCCTATAGGCTCTCTTTAGAGCTCTTTAGTACTGCAAGGTCACATTGGGTTCTCTCTGGGTCCTTCTCCAGGCTGAATAATCTCAGCTTCTCTTCACAGGAGAGATGCTCCTACCCTCTGAGCATCTTCATGGCTTCTTCTGCACCTGCTCCAGCAGGCCCATGTCCTTTTTATGCTGGAGGCACCAGAACTGAATTCAGTTCTGCCAATGGAGTCTCATGAGAGAAGGAGACAATCACCTCCCTTTCCGTGCCAGTAAAACCTCTTTTCATGCAGACCGGGATATGGTTGGCTTTCTGGGCTGAAAGAACACATCTGAAAGCACACATTGCCACCCCACATTGAGTTTTCATCAACCACGTTCCTCCCTCTACTGCAGCTTTTATTCTTGCAATCATTACTCCTCCACTTCCTGAAATCAGTGCTGAGGAGACCATTCTAGAACATCAGGGCCTGTCTTTCTGACAACTGATCTGATCAGTCTCAGCAGGTGTCTCTGGCACATCAGCTGTTGCTTAATTCCTGCAGTTCACACTTGAGAAACAGGTTAGGAGACCATCTCTCTGCCCAAGCATGCTCTGCTTGTGCATTGTTGTTATGGCTCCTAGCCAGCTGCAGGAATTTCTCCTGATGTTTGCTATAGGTTTTAGAGCAGAGAGAAGGAGAGGTACCATACTTAAACCAAACCTGTGATCTGACGCAGATTAACCCACTTCAGCATCAAACTCCCCAAAGTATTTCCCCAGTCTGTCTTAAAAACAGACCAAAGGTCTGCTAAAGATGGCCTAGACATATTAGGGAGTCTTTGCTGTACTGGGAGTGGACAGAGAGCAGTGTAAAGCCCCTGTGTTCAGAGCACATATACTCATATCCTCAATGGCATCAGGAGTTTCCTCAACCATGTTAACAGAGCAGCTTTGGCAGGGGGAACACTCAGTGGGTGTTGGTGTGGGGACAGAAAACCTCCTCCTCGGGACTCCTTGCAGCCAAGGGATGTGGCAGCTGGCTGGGCTGGATCTGCCACTTGTGCAAGCCCATCAACACGTTCCCCAGGCTCCAACTGGCTACGGGGGGAACATAAGAGTGAGCAACAGCAGGCCTCTGCCCTTGACCTGCATCTCCATCTGACCCAAGTGCTGTGACAAGTACTGAGTTGCCCTCAAAGAGGAGCATTCGGTCCACAGCTTCTCGTTGGCTTTAGATGCAACAGATGCAGCTGGTCAGCAGGCTGATCTGCCTTATTTGGCGCTTGGATTCCCAGAGATGAAGAAAAACTGCAGTGCGGTGCGGGGGATATATGACTTGTCAGCACTGCAGAGGGAGAACAGGAGGCATGGATGAATGGAGGCTGCTCAGCTGCCCCAGCCCACCTAGTTAAATCTGCCCACTTTCCCTCAGCTTGTTTTCCTTCATCCTTGTTGGAAGAAAGGGATGTAGCTTCTTAAAATGTCATATCTCTGCACAGCATTTGCATGCTGCCTTGCAAAACTCTCTCAAGGCAGGCTGCTGCACTCGGAATGTCCCATAGGAGCAGTGCAAGCAGGCTTTCAGGAAGCTTGCAGGGAAACCAAGCCTCTGCTCCTGCTTACAGACCTCTTTGTGATCAGGGTGCAATGTTCTCCAGCATGGTTTGGAGGCAGCAAAAGGCACACAGACATCAAAGGGGTCTTGGCTTCCCAGAGCAACTTCTTGTAACCATTATTCTCACTGTTTTTCCCTTTTCTTTTTTTTTTTTCCTTTGGAAGCAGACCTCATGACGCATCACATGAAGTATTTTTCTCCCGTCCCACACCTCCCAGCCAAGGAACTTGAGGGTTGCTGCCGGTGCAAATGAGCAACCCCACATGAGCCCATCTGTACTGCATGTGGCCCCCACACCCTCCACAGCTCATCAGGCAAAACCGCTGCTCCTCCCTGGTCCTGCACACATACGCACACATGCACAGGCACATCCAGAGAAGTGCACTGCTCCTTCTGACCAGGAGGTAGGAAAAGGCTCTTTGCTCTTTCACGTGGCTCCTATGCCTCAGAGATAGGGGCTGCAGAATGATGGTATTCAGTTCTGCATGTGGGCAACCAGTGCTAGATACAGAGAAAGTGCTGCAGATACACTTGGAGGGCTTCTACCCAGACAGCCAGGAGGGAGCCAAACCACTATGAGTATGACCTGACGCCTCCCACAAGTCCTCTGGGTGAGATGCCTTAACAGCTTCTGCACAGAGATGCACGGCACAGACTGGCCCACTTTTTGCTGTTTCACTGCTGTGCACAGAGGTCAGGTTTTAATTGTGTTCTGGAGCCCTTCTGTACCTACAAACTCCCCAAGGGATCTCCTGCAGGTCACAGTAACAAGTATCCCCTACGAGCTGTCATTATTTTACATCAGCTGAACAGCAGGTACCACGCAAGGCAAGCTGTTGCCTCCTCTGTGGCACCATTTCAGATGGTTGGATCCATCTCTGCAGAGGGCCCACAACACTCTGGCGGCTGCAGTCCTGCCAGGATACAGGTCCTGGCAGCACAAGATGAAGGAGAGCACTCTGCAGGCTCACCTAGTGTAGCCAGGATGAAACTCTGGGCTCTTGTTTGGGGTAGACAGAGTGAACGTATAAAGAGAGGCAATTTAGTGAAGCTGTTTTGTGGCAGTTCATGCCCTGTGAAGACAAAGGAGAGACTGGAGACATTAGATCACCAAATGCAGGGCCTGACCCAAACTGAAATAAAGCTTCATCCAGGAGAGAAGAGCCAGGAAATGACACAAGGCTTTGTGAGTGTGATCCAAGTGATCTGCCTTTGCTTCAAACCACCAGCTCCCACAGGAATCTCACTGCCCAGCAGGATATGGGGGCTCCAGGATTCACACCATCCATTGGGGTATTTTATGGAGCAAAGTCAGCTCAGTCCAAGAAAGATCCTCCCTGCTGATATTGGGGGCTGGCAGGCTGAGCAGAGAGGCCAGGGATTTAAAGGACCATAGAGAATAGACTCGTTCCTCCCTGCCAGATAATTTTCAGTCAAGCAATTGCTGAGGCACATTTAACACTTGGAAAGAGCCCGTGTGGCACGTATAGACTGTGCTACACTTATACATCAGCTTTCTGACCTGGCAGCAGGCACAGTGCTGGCACTTTTGTGAGTGTATTTTTTTAGGTTTGGTAACTTACTTAATTGCCTGTCCCACTTCTGAACAGGATCT